TAGCTAACAGCTACTGTAGCAGCTACTGTAGCTAACAGCTACTGTAGCAGCTACTGTAGCTAACAGCTACTGTAGCAGCTACTGTAGCTAACAGACAGCGGGGAACACGTTGTTTGTATCAGAGCAATGAGAGCATTGTGTGAGACGTGTCTTTCCCCAAAGTGCAGCGGCTCAGTGGGACACGAGTGTGTGCGCGCCACGGACACGGGAGTGCGCTTGGGAATAACGAGCGTGAGAGAGCGTGAAAGATGTGGCGTACAAACATAGCGACCGGAGCCTGCGTGCGTGCGTGTGTGTGTGATTCTGATTCTTGAACGTTTGAAGTGTTATTGCAACAGCACCAACTGTGAGAGCGAGCATCAGGCCAGAGGGAGACTGTTAGCATTAGGTTAGCTTCAAAATGACTGCTCAACACCATAGACCCGCGGTTAGCGCGTTAGCGCTGTAGTTCTGTGCTGGAGAAAATAAAAATCGAATTTTTAAAAAAAGAAATCGCCCTAAACGTAAAACTCGAATTAATGATTAAAATCGATTAATCGCCCAGCCCTAGTTGAAATAATTCACACTTATAAGTCAATTGTTTACGGGAATGGGAACTGAACTCAATCTCTAGTATGCATTAAGACTAAGAAGAAGATTAAGGGTTAGGGTTAGGGTTAGGGTTAGGGTTAGGGTTAGGGTTGTGAGTCTCTCTCTCTCCTTCTCTGGTCATAGGTGCATTCTGGAGAAGCGTGGATAAATGTATTTTAGGCTTACGAAGAGATTTGTACTTGACTTGGACTCCTAGGCCAGAAACTTGGATTTGCCTTGGACTGTTATGTCAGTTGAGGCAACATTGGTTATAAGACTCTTGTATACTACGGACATATGAAAAATCTTGGGTATAATGTACTAAAAACAGGAGCATTGAAAACTAATGTATTATGAAATGAATAATTAATCATCCCCAGGTCATTTTTCTTTACAATTTCTTGGAGTTTAAATGTGGGCTTAGGTTATATTCACAAGAGACTTGCAGATACTAAATGGCCTTTCATAAGCGTGTTCCACTATTTATGAAGACGGAGCGCAGGGCCATTCTCTGACACCGCATTATCCAAATGCTGCCCCGCCCGTCTCGGAGGTGCCACTTCATCTTGTGGAGAATTACAATTTGGCTGTGAACGCACCTCTGGCATCACTTCAATGAGCTATTACAAATCGATCAGTGGACGATTTAGACTGGGCTCAGGGGAAGTGCATCGTTAAACACGGACAGGCTGCACATTCACTCATACATGTACAGATACAATGCCAGGGACAAATGACTCTCTGACGACTGGCGGATGTGTTTGTGGTCTCATTCAGACTGCTATTCTGGAGACATTAGAGTCAAATCAAGTCTCAAGTTGGGAATAAGCTACTTAGATTTGATGGCCTCTACCTGTTCGTCAAAGCCTGTGTCCGTATTAAGAGTGGACTGACCGAGTTCTGACATCACCCATTGTGTTTGCCGAATGCAGAAAAAGTCCATTTGAACATAAGCTAGATGGAGCCAATTTCCTTAAGTGGGCATTTGTTTTTCGAATGAATCCTGAACAGTCGCCGTTATGACAGTCACAACAAAAGCAAAAGGTCCAACGGCATGCTAAATCACGGAAATCTTTAAGTCAAAAATGGTGAGTGTGACACAAATGGTTACTAAACTGGAGGGATTTACTTTTCAATGTCAAAAAGATCCACAGCAAGTTCTTCTGCTGAGCCATTGCCTACTGAGCATTTTCCTATTGGGCTTCATTGAGCAACAGGATTATCTATATCCATTTATATTCAGTATATGGTCTGATCTGCAGAGGGAAGTCTGGCCATCTCTGCTTAGACTGCTGCCTCTTCAACCCGACAACGGATGAAGCGCAAGAAAATGGATGGATGGATGGTCCAATCACAGAAGTAAGGCAGCATGAAGCCTGACTAGTGAAACTGAAATTAAGAGACCGCTGGGACACCAGGCGTCACAGTGGGTTGACTCTAGAATGCCGTTTTGTCGATAGGCAAGACACTTAACCCACATTGCTTTGTGTGAATGTATGTGTGAATAAATGATTGGTGGTGCATGGAGGGGTAGATCTGTTACATTATCTGGTAAAGGTATAAAACTATTCTGAAACTTGTGAACTAATTAAGACTTCCATGCAGTTAAGAACAAGTTTGAAAAAGTCTGAAAGTTAAAATCCTGGGAACATCCCATACTGCTTGTACTGTACGTGTGTCTTAGCAAGTATGTCCTAAAACAGCTTAGTCAACTCTTTTCTAGACTGGGAGTTTTCTGGCTTGTACTTTATATAGCAATTTTCAGTGTTGCAACACATCAAACAGCATGAATATAGGAAACACTTACAATGAGATACAATACACAATAGCATATAATATAATAAACTCATATATTTCATACTGTACATATGTTATATTTATGCTTTTCTATTAAATATACTATTTGGTGAAAATATTGGTGATGGGACTTCTTGAGCTCTAAATTAATGCATAAATCTGCACCTTACACATTTAAGCTTCGGTATTGACGCTCTACCTGCCCACTGGTGTTAGACCCAGATATCCCAAACCTCCTATTGAAGCCTGTGAAGTTGCCTCATTGTGCTATTTTCCACAGATATGGAGCAAATGCAGTGTATCATTCTATTAGTGCAGATCACCTGAAGCCAGTTTCCTCAATGCATTCTCACAATGGCAGCTTGCAAAAACAACCAGCCAATATTTGTCCCTCTTCTGTTCTCGGAAAGAATCATTTTACAGAGAACAAGTCGGTGCGTGTAACAATATAGCTTCAGAGCAGTCTTCATGACCGCATTTGCTGGCTCACAGGGAGGACAGAAGCAGTGAGGGATGAGAGCAGGCAGACTTAGGGACAGCCAGAAGTCATTTGCACCCTCTGAATCCTCCCCTAAAGATGTAGACCAGCTGCAGTGCTGTGGTCCCTTCTTAACCTGTCCCCCCGCCCTTTATAAAGTCACTTTACTGCCCATCATACGTCACTTTACTTCACTGTACTGCTGTCACCTTACATTGTGTGCACCATGTGCACTTGTATATTGTAAATAGTAACTGTAACTCTATTTTAAATTTAAATTTATTCTTTAGAAGTGTTTTTTATTCTTATTTTTATTATCTCTTTTTGACTGTTGCACTGAGCCAAAGCAATTTCCTAGTCTGTGACCTCCTGTTACTTACGTGGCAATAAAAATGATTCTGATTCTGATTCTGATAAGGCTAAGTCTGCTGGATGGGGACTCAACTTGATCTTTAAAAATATAATCTCTGAACAGATTAACAAAGAAGTAAAGTCAAATAGTAAAAATTAAAACATCAGGATGATTAAAAGGGGCGCAAACATGTCCTTCTTCCAACTTTTGTTTGGTTTATCTTTATAGCAGGCCCATTCAGTACAACCCATTTTTAAATTTTCCAATATGCATCTATGCTTGTTTCTGGTTAGAAAGTGCACATGTGGAATCATGGGTCATAGTTTATTGAGGGTTAATTATCGGTGTAACTGAGCAACATTGGCTGAGCAAAAGCTACAGCAGATCAGTTGAAAATAGCCACTGGAAACTTATTTTTGTGGGGGGAAAAAATGCAAATGTATTGGCACAATGTGCACTTCTGACTCTGAATTCCTAGTATGGCCTCAATGGCCAAAAACATCTGATTTGTTTAAAAATAGTGACATTGTATGCCAATGAGTTTATCAATACATGTGCTGTTGCTGTTCCTTTTTGTTAAATTTGTAAAAAAAAAAACAACACATATACAGTAAAGACCTATTACAACTGCCTTCCTTCATTATTGTACACTGTGTTTGCTTTTGTGTTTTCCTTCAAGGCCATATGTTTGCCTTGTGCATAAACTGCAACACAAATACATTTGCCTTGCTTTGTCTACTAAATAAATATATGTTTTTGGCTGTTTTTGTGTCATTTACAATCAATCCCTATCTGTGCTTGTATTCTTCATGTGCTTTGTCTATCCAACTGTATAAACTCTTGACAAACAATGCTAACAAAGCAGGAGTGGGTGACCTTTTCGGATCCCCTGGATCATGTTTTAGATAGCATTTATTGAGAAACTACACACAAATTTGCAATTCACAACACAGATCAGAAGGACAACTCATCAGTATTGTAACCAAAGGAGCCAAGGAGAATGCATTTCTATGGTAGACCAATATGGCATGTTATTGAATGTCCGAGCACGTCTCACCACCCATAGCTTTTTATCACTATATGCACATCAACATATCAATATGTACATCAACATAAACTATGACTTATTGAGAAAATGTATATAACTGCTCTTTCACATGATTATACCCCTGTCGTTGGACTAAATAAGTCCATCCCATAACATAACTCATGTTTGGAAGTTGTAAGTTGTAAGAAGTATATAGTGTTATCAGCTATAAATACAATAGATTTGGCCATGAATATATACAAATAGACTGGAAGCTCGGGTTGAGTTGTGTGTTGTGATCCTCCACATGTGCGAGCTCCTGCCCCTTGTGCCACGCCCGCGACAATACAGCGCATGCAATTAGCTCATTACCTCAGCCAGCGCCAAGATATGGGCTTTTAGCCTCTGGACTCAGATCCTCCAACACATAACACACACGCACACGTGTAAAAGTCTATGATGTGCTCCTGCCCTCTATCCTCCTTCAGCTCTAGCCTTTGTAGGATGGATGCTGGGATGGTACCCCGCTCTTCAAACCAGGCTGCCGACCATATTGGCTGGATTAAAGCTCCCAGGCTACACCCTCCTCCTCCTTTCCCTCTGCTCATCACACTTAAGGCACAAAGCAGTCGCGTTTTCCCATGACATTGGCTCAATAGTGCTCCAAAACAGCCCACTTTACAGTATAACACGCAAAAATCCCGTGTAATCACAGCCGGTGAAGCGGTGTGCACCTGTCCCACTCTAAACACACACACGCACACATACACACGTACCTGTGCAGTCCGCCGGTGTCAAGCCGATCTCCGGTTCATCGAGAGCGCAAAACGCCTCCACCGCGCGGTCACCCCCGCCCTGGGCTCTGGCCTCCAGCTGCAGGCGGATGTGATGCACGCAGAGATGCTGGGGATGGGATGGATGGCTGAATGGAGGCGACGGGAGCAGGGAGGCAGAGCAGAGCGGAGAGTGGAGGTTGTTCCGTGTGCGGGAAGCTGCTGGGAAACTCCTTACGTCGTGCGTGAGACGCGGGGAGCGCTGGTGGTGATGATGGCACGCAGCGTCATGACAGCGCGCGCCTCATATTCTGAGTAATTTAAAAGTCTTTAATGTGATTTGAAAGTAAAAGAGACATGGGGCTTGAGGTGCAGGCCTGTGGAATTAACCCCAGGCAGCGATTGTGCTAAATATAGCTCTAAACAAGCATTGCAGCATACGTCTAAGCGCAATGAAAAGGTCAAAGGAAAGATTGTTTATAGAACAGTATAGAAATATATTTTAAAAAAACAGTGCATTTTGCCTTAGAAATATTTTGATATTATAAATGTTTCTTATTGAGACTGAAACAATGCAATCTTGATTCCCTTTTCCCATTGTGGTGCGGTATAAGTGAATTAAGTTTGAATTTTATCTTTATTCTCAAAAACAACACAATATCAAATGTGTTCATAAATAACAGGTCTCTTATAGTATAGTTTGTTGACTTTTCCTCATTATTTAACATTCCATACTTTCTCTCAACAACGAAAGGTAAAACTGTGACAAAGAGAACCGCCAATCACCCTCTCTTTTTCACTTTTCTGTCTGAAAAATATGATATAAGGATAAGCTCGGGAGCAAAAAGGCTTGCATGATAATGAGTGTCTTGAGAGCCATGGCAGGAACTAATTCTATGGATTTTATTACATTTCTTGTGGTTTGAAAGTCCGCCTGAAGCTTCGATGAAGTCACAAACATGTTTCCTCACAAATGAGTCTTAATGATCTTAATTTATCATTAATACTCCCAACCTCTTCCAAACGTATATCTGAAAAAGCTGAGTCCTAAACGGCTTAAGGACATGTTGGCCTCAAAAAAGGTTTGTAACAGCTACAAAAAAAATAGGAAGAAAATAATGCTCACATTCTTGCAGGCAATGATTTAAATAAGGATGTTCAAAGTAATTCAAAGTACTAGTTTAAAGTAAAACACTACTGTTTGGGATTGGGCTGTCTTCAGGTGCATGGTATAAAAAGTGACTATTCATAAGTAAGTAGTCATGGTCCAGTCTACAAAAAGCCATACTGTTAAAAGAGTGTGTTTTATTGCTATGTTGATTCCATCCATCTATCCATCAATAACATAAAAAGCCACAGGCTGTTTCTTAGAATATAAATCCTATCTTTCACCCATAGTGTGCCCATGAAGTTTAAATGCAGGTTTGAGATTCCTAATCTGGACATTTTACGAGTGTGACATACATTTGAGTTGGTGATGGAGCTTGTCCCTTGTCAGTCTTCCAGAACGTTAGCCTGGCCTCTCTGCTCTGTTGTGGTCAGATGGAAATGGGCCTAAAGCAGAACCAGCGCCTGTTACGCTCCACAATGCTTTCTTTGTCCTCTGCAGAAACAAGACAATTAATATAAAACAACAAACACCATATGGACAGAACTGGAGAGGGGACGCGACGAGGAGGAAAGGATGACAAGTGTACTTTTACAGTTTAGGAAAAGGGTACAGCATCAGAGAAATGTAAAAGTGAAAATCACTCACATTCAGAATACAGGCATGAAACAGTATTGTATAATGTATTCCATTAAGTGGTTCAACCAATGTTCTGTATTCTGAATTCTTGGGATACTTAAACAGTGATCTGCAAAGTGTTAAACACAACTGTTTTTGCACTATGTCCTGTTTTTTAGTTTTTTGTTGCATGCATCACTTAAAGCATATTTTCCTGATAATGATCAAATAACACAATTTTTTGGACATAACATTCTCAAAAATTGTGTTCTGAATACATGTTCCCAGTAGCATTCTGTTACTTTCTACCACTGTCCATGATCCACCTGCAGGTTAGGTAAACATATTCAACAATCATGATTACAGTTGTGATGCTGATTAAAAGGTTTTTAGGAGGATTTTCAACATTTTTAGAGAAAAACCGCCCTTTCCACTTTTTGAACAAAACTCTCTGGTCTTATTTGACGAGCACATATGACCAGAATGATGATGATCCCATTGTCTTGATGATCCACCTGGAAGTAGAAAATCCATATACTTTCAATGTAGCTTTAACACACAATCTGTAATAAGTGAATCAGACCAAACTTTGATGTAAAATATTTTAAGTAATTACTATATACTTCATTTTCCACTATTTTATATTTTTGGTTGACAAATAAGTACTGTATAATATTATCATAGCACCCTGTACAATACTGATTTTACTGCTTTAAGTGAAAATACTTTAAATATTTCTTCTATAAGCCTGGTGGTCCATTAATGACAAAACAAATATATCATGTTGATTGAAAACAAAATGTGGCGAAGCAGTGATGCTACCCAGAATGCATTGCAGAGCAAAATATAAACTTCTTAAAAATTCTACATTTGACCATTCATTTTAAGAATGAATATGAAGCAAGTCCTAAAGCAAAGTACTTGAGCAACATTTTGAATAAACTAAGTTGATCAAATAAGTCATTGTATTTATTTTTACCAACCGTAATCGACAGGGTCAAGCCAAACTACCCGTCTACACCCTGGGTTCAACTCAGACATCAGATCCTAAGAAATGGTCATGATGCTTGCTTAAAAACAAGTCCTAAATGGGTTGCAAGCACATTTACTCCCCAGCATGAGATTTACAGAGTTCAAAAGCACACAATGTAAGGATTACGAAAACTAACAAACTTTCTCCAGATGGAAGAAAGTTTCATTTTGAATGAATACAAAAATATTGAGTATATTGATCATCTCCAAGTTAGTTATACTTTGAAAGGACACACACATTTTAAGTAAATCCATCACTTCAAAGTAATAGTTTTGCTTTCTGTCAAATTGAATTTAATATTCTTTATTACTTAATAAAGAGCTAAAGTTGATAGTACTCAAAAAGGCCGATGGAACCTCTTGTCACGTGGGTGAAAAACAAATGAGGCCCAAAAGGCAAAACTGCAAAAAGTAATGGATTTAATAAAAAGATGAAACAAATCCAAAAACACCGGGAACGAGGACCAAACTAAAACAGACTAGGAAAGACAATTACGGAACAGGGAGTGAAGGAACACACAGGGCTAAATACAAGACTAACGAGACACAGGTGAGACAGATTAGGGCAGGGCAGGTAATCAGACAACAGGAAGTACAACCAAAGAAGACACAGGAATAACACATTTCAAAATAAAACAGGAAATAAACTTAAACCATGACAGTACCCTCTCCTCAAGGGACGGATCCCAGACGTCCCAAAAACAAAACCAGGGAGGGAGGAGGGGGACCGTAGGAAGGACCGGGGGGGTGTAACCGGCACGTGAAGCCGGGGCCGGGACGTGAAGCCGGGGCCGGGACGTGAAGCGTGAGCCGGGGCCGGGACGTGAAGCCGGGGCCGGACGGAAAGCCGGGACGGCCGGGGACGTGAAGCCGGGCGGGCCGGGACGTGAAGCCGGGGCCGGGACGTGAAGCCGGGGCCGGGACGTGAAACCGGGGCCGGGACGTGGAGCCGGGGCCGGGACGTGGAGCCGGGGCCGGGACGTGGAGCCGGGGCCGGGACGTGAAACCGGGGCCGGGACGTGGAGCCGGGGCCGGGACGTGGAGCCGGGGCCGGGACGTGGAGCCGGGGCCGGGACGTGGAGCCGGGGCCGGGACGTGGAGCCGGGGCCGGGACGTGGAGCCGAAGAGCTGGAGCAGGAACTGGAGCCAGGACTGGAGCCAAACGGGTACAGAAGGCCCCCTGGATGGAGAACAATATCCAGCGGAGCCAGGTCAGGAACGGAAGCCTGCAACCACCCAGGACGGAGCTAAGTGTCCTGCAGTGGTCCAGGACACAGACAGACAGGGAATGCGTCCAGCTCCTGCAGCAACTGTCAAGACCAGTCGGGGACAAAGATGGGCCAGAGATGACAAAAAATAAAAAAACAAAAATAAAGCAGTCTGCTTGGGCCTTGAGTGGTTCCGTCATTCTGTCACGTGGGTGAAAAACAAATGAGGCCCAAAAGGCAAAAACTGCAAAATGATGGATTTAATGAAAGTAATACAAATCAAAACCTACCAAAAACACAGGGAACGGACAGAACTGAAACAGACTAGGAAAGACAATGACGGAACAGGGAGTGAAGGAACACACAGGGCTAAATACAAGACTAACGAGACACAGGTGAGACAGATTAGGGCAGGGCAGGTAATCAGACAACAGGAAGTACAACCAAAGAAGACACAGGAATAACACATTTCAAAATAAAACAGGAAATAAACTTAAACCATGACACCTCTTACAGAATTGTTTTCGTTTCTGATTAAAGCAACACTTTTTACAGTGCACCCCTTCTTCCCCTCCCTCGCTCTGTGCTGAGGGCAACATTCTCCTTCCTCCACATATTTTTCGAATATGTTTTTTTGTTTATTGAACCAAATTTAAACACGTCTTCATTTGCTCATCGGTCCTAAATGTAGGTTGATATAATTTAATTTACTTTAATATGTGTGGTGTGCATCCACACGTTTTGTAACTCTGATGGCGGAGATTTGAGAGATTCCCTAAACACAATTTGAGCCGTTTTAAATATGAAGCATAAAGTTACCTAAAGGGCTTTGAAAAAAATTACATTACAGACTGGTTTACCATATCTCTGGGTGTTTCTCAACATAATTATCAAACCAAAGACCGAATAAGCCTCCTGTGAGCCTGGTGATTTAAAGCTGAGATTCCTCTCTCAGGTCAGCAAATGGCACTTCCGTACATAAGCTCCAGGTGATTCCTTGTACTAGCTATGGTGCTGCGAATATCATCAATATCAGCTGTTCCGGTGCTGTCCACAGGGAGGTGCTCATAACCAGCACCACTGCCTCACACATCTCTCTTGCACTTAATTGGTTAAAAGTGGAAAATAATGAAAATAAGTTGAGCCGCAACACCTTTAGACTGAATGGTATTTCTGAAAACCATCCTTCTTTGTTTTCCTTCATACTTAATAAAAATAGGTGTCTGGCCAAATGTCTACACATCAATAGCAGCCACATATCTGCCCTCAATTATCACAGAAACACAATCACGTCTCATATTTTCCTTAATTGTATTGCATCTAGCCCTCTTTCTCTCGTGGTGGTTTGATTTATCTTGTCACAACTCACTTTGCAAAATGAGTTCAATCATTGAGACCCAATTGAGCTCAGTTGGTAGAGCATTGGCCTTTGGGCTGCAAGGGCGTGGGTTCAAGCCCACCTTGGGACCTGCTCCCACTTATGGCTGCTGTCCTTGTGTCCTTGGGCAAGACACTTAACCCCACATAGCCTGAAGCTCCTGCTGAAACACCAAAGGCATGTGGCACTGCTGATGTTGCAGCCATCACCACCTGCAGAGGATCAGCGAAGGGCTGGTGTTATGAGCTTTGGGTGGCAGCTCAACTTGTCACCCCCCTGACCCAGAAATGGACTAATAAAGGGGAAGAAAATGAACACATCTTTTTTTTTTTACCTTATGACCCGGTTGTATAATTCTAAATACATGTTATTCATAAATAGTATAACCCCAACCACTAACACCAATATTTGCTGGGGTATAGAACAGTTTTGACGAGTGGGGAAGGGCCTCTGCTCTTGCATTAAAAAAATGTCTCTCCATCTTAAAACATTGAAAAGTAACTGACCTTCACTTTAAATTAACTTTAAGCCTTTGACCATGATAACAAAATCCAAGATGAGTATTTAGGCATACTAATAATAATAATAATGAAAATGATAAGTATTGAGATAGTGCTCTAGATGGCGTTCAAAGACAAATCACGTGAATTGATAACAGTTGAAAACAATAATACACATTTATTTTCCCTCTATAAGCAGTGCAAATCCAATGCCATTGTTTTTAGTTGAAGTTGAATTTGTAATTTGTCTCCTTGTTTTGTTTCATCGTTCTGTGTCCTTGGAGAAACTGGAACAACAGGCGCTGAACTGAAGCAGAATGCTCTTAACATCTGGCTCACAGCGGAGGAGACTCACGTGGACATTTTTCACAGTTTTAGTGGTACCAGAGCTTCCACCCTGGTGATGATGTGTCTGTGAGATGTATGCATGATTCTAAAATCACGCTGTTTCTGATGTTTTTGAAGGAAAATGAGCAGGTATCATATGGCATAGATGATGTTAGGTACAATATTGATCGTTTGGAGTAGTGGGGGAAAGGGAGCTCTGTATATTTTACTCATTCGTCAAAAGAGCTAGGGAAACATGTCAGAAGCAGCGGGAAATGGCGTCTCACATAACAAACTGTCAAAAAATCTCAAACTAAGGTCCTAAGGTCAGACCAAATTTTGTTTTTGTATACTGTGACAAAAGTGATATCTATATCTAAAAAATTCTAATCTATTTCAGTGGTAAAATTGTGTGTTTTGAGCAATAATTAAATAAGCAAAAATGAGAGAGAGCGAGATTGCCCACAGAAAAGAGGGAACTATTTGACAGGGAGAGCTTATGTTTTACTATGGAACTTCTCCAAACCGTTTACAGCTGTTGAATTGATAGATGAAAAGGACGCACCCCAACTCTGAAACTTGCAATATTGTTAATGACTCAATTTAAAATTGAGAGTCAATTTATTTATTTTTAATGGAGAAACCTGGGAACGACTTATTAAGGGATAGCAATTATGGGGTGCGCCACTAGGGGGCATTGTGGGGAGCAGGCTGTGGGTCCGCCTGGCGGGACCTTCTTGCCAACACGTTGGCAACTTCCCTTCATACTATGAAGCGAGGCTGCGTTAACCGAAAACTCACTGCCTCCTGTCTTCTTTTTCCTTTCTAACAGGTAATACGGTTCTAAGCACATGCTTAAATAACACATACATGTAAGGTATGATGTGGTTAGAGATAGCCAATTTTTCGAGCGGTTTGTAACAAGATAAGATGTAATTAATGTATTCAGTCGTGCTATACGCGTGGGCATGAGTTCGGGTAATGGCGGCGCCCCCGCTCTTGACTTGCACTCACAAAAGTGCATTATCCCAATGTTTTGCTAAATGGTTTCAGTTTAAAAAGGCTGTTTAAGATTTTTGAGACAGTATAAACAGTTTCCTAATGTTCAGTTTTGTGTATAAATAAAAGGATTAATAAGCAGGTCAAGCCGTAGTAGGAACACGATTTCAATCAAGTATTGGCTATTCAAGTATTGGCTTGTGTACAATGTAGAAAGCTACAGAAACGGTATTGATGATTACTTATTTCTGTTTGGTCATGTGTGTTGTCAGACAGTCGAATATGTTTGTTGATCAGACAGACTAAATATGTAAATGTATTAGATTTTTGTATTAAAGATACTATGAAGCGAGGCTGCGTTAACCGAAAACTCACTGCCTCCTGTCTTCTTTTTCCTTTCTAACAGATTACTATTACTGCTACGGCAACCCCACTGCTTGGGGCCCGTAACATCGTGGGGGCTCGTCCGGGATCAGCACGCCAAACGTCCATGGGCCGCTGCTGATCCAGTGATACTGAATGCCAGGACCTCCAGCACTGCATGTTCCCGGAGCCAGGGGTGATCCAGTGTGCAGCAGAGAGGCTAGTGACCGGTGAAGAGGTGCACGAGCCTACAGAGTGCGAAACTGCGAACCCAAGCGTCCGAGACCAGCAAGATGACGTCCGGCGAGAGAAAACAACTACTTTGGAGCATTAAGAAGAAGTTGCACCAGTTGACAGCTAGTGAAGCCCACCTCATCGCAACTTCCCTTGGAAATGTTGACGGGCTGGATTTCAGTCAGTTGAGTCAAGATGATGAAGAAAGTTGTGTTGAATATCTTACCAACTACCTGACATGTGAAGCAATCCTGGGCCGGGAGGACCAGGGTTTACCGTTATTGAAGAGACTTGAGCGCATCATAGATGGGGCTATAGTAAGTCGTGGTCAAGAGCCAGTGTCCTTAGCAGCTGAAGCAAGTACTAGTGGTCAGGCCATTAACCCTGTCCAGCCGGAGGGCACTAGTGACACAGATATACAGACTTTACTTGCCCGTTATGACAGTATTCAAGCGCAGCTAAACCAAACCCTGTCCGCCACAATCTCCCCGGACCCAGAGAGACTTTCTCCACCACCAGCTCGTGCCAGTCACTCCCTCAACCAGCAGACAACTCAGGCCTCAGCTACAAGGGGCTTTCCCACTCGTGAGACCACCCAACAGTTTTACTCACCCTAGCACTCTCTCCTGCACTCAGAGAGCGTTCCAAGTCACACTGGTCAGAGTATGATAGCCATGAAAGACTTGCCGCTGCTGTCCCGCAAAGAATTCAAAATACATGGGGGAACGATAAATGACACAACATCTGAATTAAGTTACAATAGCATCTGCAGACAAATAGAGGAGGGTCTCAAAGAGAATCACACACAAAATGAAGTAATCAGGGGAGTGTTACGTGCCATTAAACCAGGTAACTTTCGAGATATGCTAACGATAAAAGACGATCTCACCGTCTCTGAGCTCAAAAGTTTCTTGCAGTCTCACTTAGGTGAAAAGAGTAGCACAGAGCTCTTCCAAGATTTGATGTGTGCCAAACAGCATGAGAGTGAGACACCTCAGCAGTTCTTATACAGAATGATAGGACTGAAACAAAAGATCCTTTTTTCACTAAAGCAGCCAGACTCAGTTGTTAAGTATGAGATGTCCACAATCCAGTGTATCTTCCTCAACACTATTGGTCAGGGCATAGGGGAGAAGTACGACAGTGTCCGCCGAGATTTAAAAACCCTCTTAGGCGATCCCACTTTTAGTGATGAGGCACTGCTCCGCCAAGTAATAAAGACTACAACTGAAGAAAGCGAGAGAAAGCGCAGATTTGGCCGCAGCTCTACCCCTAAAGTAAGTCATGCCCATGCAACCAACACGGAGTCCAAAGAGAAAGCAAAGGACAATGTGAAAGTGAACCAAATCGACAAAGACTCTACACTCCAAAGACTAAGCGCTCAGGTTGAAGCACTCACCCGAGCTATGGAGAGTTTGAAAGCAATAACAGCTCCTGAACAGAGAGACTTAAAACCTCAATCAGAGAGAAAACCACGAGAAAGAAAGAGCTGCCAAAACTGTGCTTCCCAGTCCAATCCGAACTGTAACCACTGCTTTGTCTGCGGAGAGGAAGGGCATCGCGCCGTCGGGTGCCTGAAGAGGACCAAGTCATCGGGAAACTGGAGACGGTCAGGGCAGAGGGACCACCCTTGACCGACAAACCTCAGCAGTCCCACTATAAGAAAAAGTCCAAAACAAAATACGACCAAAAGACTGATAATGCCAGTTCACAAGGGAATGTCAATAAGGAGACACCACGTGGTTTAGTAGCTCCGTTAGTAGGTCGCCAATCCCTTCGCAAATGCATGATGGCCGGTTACCTGATAACAGCAGTGCTAGACACGGGGGCGGGGGTCAGCCTTTTAGACCATGCTTGGCTAAATAAGTACTTACCCGGGCAACAGGTCAGGCCTTTAAGTGAGCTGATGGACGATGAGCTCAACGTGAAAGCAGTCACAGGGGATTCAGTACCTTATGACGTGGGTAGAGGTAGTTGTTAACCTAGAGGGCAACAATGACCCAGACCTATCTATACGCGTACCTTTCCTTGTGAGCCGCCTTAAGATTGACAGACCCATTGTAGGCTTTAACGTGATCTATGAGTTCATTAAAGACAATGGAGGTAACTACAAACTTATTGAGCTTATTGGTAGAGCTATGGGGATTGACGTTACTGCTGTAAGCGCTTTGGTAAGCTTTATCCAGACACAAAAGCGCTCTGTAGATGAATCAGCTGCTGTAAAAGTGGGCTTTAAAGGTATCACCATCTACCCTAGTCAAGTCGCTTATATTAAGTGTAGAGTCCCAGAGAGTATTATTAGCGCTACGGAGTCATTTGTTTTGTTTGAGCCAGTGCTAAATGACATCCACCTAGAACAGCTTAGTGTTGGAGCAGGACTTTTGCAGATCGAAAAGACAGACAGGCCTTATGTCAAAGTACCTGTGTCAAACTACTCCAAACAAAGTGTGACTCTACCCAGCTCACTAGTTTTGGGTTCGGTTGAGCCCATTGCCAAACTTTTTGAGACAGACAATCCAAAAGATACTTGTGAACCAGTACCAGTCTCCATCCACACTGTTGACTCTGTGCCCAAGTCCAGTGAAGACCAGAAGCCATCAAACGCAGCTCACTGGCACCCCCCCGTGGACATAAGTCACCTTACACCAGAGCAACAGAGTGAAGTTGAACAAATGCTATTTGAGGAATCAAGTGCTTTTGCCCGAGATGATGGTGACATAGGGAACATTCCAAGTTTACAAATGACTCTCAATCTGAAAGATGATATTCCAGTCCAGCGCACATACACATCTATCCCTAAGCCATTGTACAAAGAAGTCAAAGAATACATTCAGGACTTGCTTGCTAAAGGCTGGATAGTAAAGTCAAAGTCACCCTTTTCTGCACCTGTCGTATGTGTGAGGAAGCGAGATGGCACGTTAAGACTTTGTATTGATTACAGACTGTTAAACCAGAAAACTGTGCCCGACCGCCACCCACTTCCACGTATCCAAGATCTCCTTGACACGCTTGGCGGCCACAGCTGGTTCAGCATTCTCGACCAAGGTAAAGCTTACCACCAGGGGTACATGGCCGAGGGGTCCCGCCATATGACCGCCTTCATCTCACCCTGGGGACTGTATGAGTGGGTGAGGATCCCCTTCGGCCTCAGTAACGCGCCTGCTGCCTTCCAGCGCAGTATGGAGGAGATGCTCAACACCCTGCGTGATGACTGTTGTATTCCATACCTCGATGATATCCTTTGCTACTCAAAAGATTTTGCTGAACATGTCGAGGCGCTGCGCAAAGTCCTGAGAGCTCTTCAACAACACAGAGTCAAGCTCCGCCCAACAAAATGTGAGTTGTTTAAGGCAGAGGTCAGATATGTGGGTAGGCTGGTCTCCGCAGATGGAGTTCGAGTCGATCCAAAGGACATTGAAGCGGTCAAGTCACTCAGCCAAAAGAAACCAACTACTGTGGGTGAGTTAAGAAAACTACTTGGATTCTTAAGTTATTATCGCATCTATATTCAAGATTTTTCCAGAATCGCAAAACCTTTGTACAACCTTCTACAAGTCAAAGGGAGCACTGAGAACATACAGATCAAGTCAAAGAACGGAAAAGGTGCCCAGCTGCACTCAAAGACTCCTATCCACTGGGCAGGTGTGCACGACTGCACTCTAAACCAGCTCATTGACATTCTCTCCAATCCACCTGTGCTCGCGTACCCCGACTTCGAACTGCCGTTTGTCCTGCACACAGATGCCTGCGAGAAGGGGCTCGGTGCCGTGTTATATCAAAGACAGTGTGGAAAATTGAAAGTCATTGCATATGGCTCAAGAACTCTGACCCCAGCTGAAAAAAACTATTGCCTGCATTCCGGCAAGTTGGAGTTATTGGCCCTTAAATGGGCCGTCTGCGAAAAGTTCAGAGATTATTTGTTTTATGCTCCAGATTTTACGATATATACAGACAATAATCCCCTGACATATGTAATGAGCACTGCAAAGTTAAACGCCACGGGACATAGGTGGGTGGGAGAGCTTGCCGATTTCAGATTTAACATCAAGTACAGACCTGGTAAAGTTAATGTGGATGCTGACACTCTGTCACGCCTCCCTCTGGACATTGACAGTTATGTAGGGGAGTGCACAGAGGAGCTTAGCAGAGACATTGTTTGTGCAACATGGGAAGGTAGTGAAGCAGCCAAGAAAAGCGACGTTGCCTATGTAGCTGCCTTAAACCTAGCCCAAGACACTGAAACAGACAGGTCAGCTTTACCTAGCATCAGCCACAAAGAGCTAGTGAGAGCACAAAGACAAGATGTGACAATTAAAGAACTTCTCACGTTAAAAGAGACAAAGACAACACTAACTGACAAAGACAGGCAGAACGCAGATGGGTTAGTGAAGAGACTAATGCGTGAGTGGGGAAAACTGCACATTGAGAATGACTTGCTGTACAGGGAGGCTGGAGGCAGACAGCAGCTAGTACTGCCAGCAGAGTACAGGCCTCTAGTGCTAAAACACCTGCATAACGACATGGGTCACCTCGGTGCCGAACGAGTTATCAGCCTGGCCCGAGACCGCTTTTACTGGCCCTTTATGAAAAAGGACATTGAGGCCTATGTAACTAGAAAGTGTCCCTGTATAAAACAAAAGAAACCTGCTACACATGTGAGAGCACCCATGGGCAACATCAGTACCAGTGCGCCCATGGAGCTGGTATCTATTGACTACATGCATTTAGAAAAGAGCAGAGGTGGTTACGAATACATACTAGTTGCAGTTGACCACTTTACACGCTTCGCGCAAGCGTGGCCAACCAGAAATAAGTCTGCAAGAACGGCAGCAGAGAAACTGTACAGTGATTTCATCCCTCGCTTTGGTTACCCCGGCAGGCTACACCACGACCAAGGCCGTGAGTTCGAGAATGGACTGTTTCGGGGCCTCCAGCAACTGTCAGGTGTTAGCCGCTCCCGTACAACGCCGTACCACCCACAGGGAAACCCTGCTGAGCGATTTAACCGCACCCTGTTGCAAATGTTGAGAACACTCGAAGAGAAGGAGAAAAACAACTGGAAAGACTTTTTGCCACAGGTTGTTCATGCATATAATTGCACAAAACATGAGGCCACAGGATTTTCTCCACACTTCTTAATGTTTGGGCGCCACCCCCGCCTACCTGTGGACCTCTTGTTTGGACTCAAAACTGTGAAAGAGAGTGAAACACCACAGGGTTATTTGCAGAAGTGGGCGAAGAGAATGAAGGAAGCTTACCGTATTGCGACTAACAACAGCCAGCAGTCCAGTGCTCGTGGAAAGAAATACTATGACCAACGTGTGAGAGGGGTTGTTTTAGAGCCCGGTGATAGAGTGTTAGTCCGTAACCTTGGTGAAAGGGGAGGACCAGGAAAGCTCAGGTCATACTGGGAGCAGACAGTGTATATTGTCAAAGAACAAGTTAATGACAGCCCTGTTTACAAGGTATTTCCTGAGAACAATGCACAGAAAATCAGGGTGCTCCACAGAAACCTCCTCCACCTCGTAAACGACTTACCTGTTACCAAAGGTCAGGAAACAGACAGAGTACCTACGAAGACCAGAGTCAAAACTCACAGAGCCAGTCAAAGCAACAGAGACAGTGACACTTCAGATTCTGAAAGTGACTCCGAGAGACGTTATTGGCTCCGAATTCCAGTAGTGGCCAGACCGCAGAGACCAGTCACTCAAACTCATCCAACAGGTGAAGTGTTCACTCCCACGGAGCAAGCAAGACACTCACCTCCAAACACGGCAAATGGAAATGTGTCAACCGAGGATCAGTGTCCAAGTGCAGATGAAGTTGTACAAAACCCTGAATATGACTATGACTTAGGAGAACAAGAATTTGAAAGAGACACTGAACAAGTCGAACCTGAAATGGACTCGGAAGATGCAGAACAAGTGCCGACACAGAATATTTCCTTTCGGAGATCAGCACGAACGAGGAGACCACCGCAGACCCTTACCTACAACGCCCTGGGCCAGCCTTCTTACCAGCCGCAGGGGATTGTGGGTCATGTTGGACTGTGTGGAGTACAAACATTGCCAGTATGGGGAATGCAACCGTGGCAAGTAAATCCTTATATGCCTTATCAGACTGTGCCCCATACAATAACAGTGCCTTATGCAATGCCTAGTTTTGTGTATTGAAGGTAGACAGACTCTTTGAGTATGGTTATTGTGGTTATAACTAGTAATTATTATTTTTGTGACTCATAAATTTGGTATTGTAAGTGTTGGGAGCCACCTCTTATGTTGGGGAGCGTGTGACATACACAAAATGTATAGTCACATATTTTATGTTATTTAAAATTGAGAGTCAATTTATTTATTTTTAATGGAGAAACCTGGGAACGACTTATTAAGGGATAGCAATTATGGGGTGCGCCACTAGGGGGCATTGTGGGGAGCAGGCTATGGGTCCGCCTGGCGGGACCTTCTTGCCAACACGTTGGCAACTTCCCTTCATACTATGAAGCGAGGCTACGTTAACCGAAAACTCACTGCCTCCTGTCTTCTTTTTCCTTTCTAACAGGTAATACGGTTCTAAGCACATGCTTAAATAACACATACATGTAAGGTATGATGTGGTTAGAGATAGCCAATTTTTCGAGCGGTTTGTAACAAGATAAGATGTAATTAATGTATTCAGTCGTGCTATACGCGTGGGCATGAGTTCGGGTAATGGCGACGCCCCCGCTCTTGACTTGCACTCACAAAAGTGCATTATTCCAATGTTTTGCTAAATGGTTTCAGTTTAAAAAGGCTGTTTAAGATTTTTGAGACAGTATGAACAGTTTCCTAATGTTCAGTTTTGTGTATAAATAAAAGGATTAATAAGCAGGTCAAGCCGTAGTAGGAACACGATTTCAATCAAGTATTGGCTATTCAAGTATTGGCTTGTGTACAATGTAGAAAGCTACAGAAACGGTATTGATGATTACTTATTTCTGTTTGGTCATGTGTGTTGTCAGACAGTCGAATATGTTTGTTGATCAGACAGACTAAATATGTAAATGTATTAGATTTTTGTATTAAAGATACTATGAAGCGAGGCTGCGTTAACCGAAAACTCACTGCCTCCTGTCTTCTTTTTCCTTTCTAACAGATTACTATTACTGCTACGGCAACCCCACAGCTTGGGGCCCGTAACACAAACTGAGCAGGAGCACAGATGACTCCACCCATTTCCTCAGGTGAGTCCAGTTTTAACCTGAAGATTTGAGGAAATGGGTGGAGTCATCTGTAAGCACCCACGAAGCTATCGCCCCCACACACATCCACTGTTGTTGACGGAGCTAGCGTCTCCCGATATGGATAATACATGGACATGGATTTGCACGTGGATGGCGTGACCATAGAACGATAGAACCGGGAAGCGCGGAGAAACGGGACTTTCTTTTGGATGGCTGTTTCGCTGTGTAAGCAGTAACCGGTGACGAAGACGAGGAAGCTTCAGGTTAGCTCCGCCGCTTGTTGTGCTAACTCAGTTGTCTGTGCTAACCAAGCCCCGGCAATCCAAGATGGCGCCCTATTCAAATGAATGGTTGTGCTCAGTGGCGCTTTGTGACGCCATGGGGGCTGAAAGATTAGCGGAAGTTGCCTGAAACTCGCGAAGATCTATGGGAAACTCGCAAAGATCTATGGGAAACTCGCCTTTATTTGGGCATCGTCTGGTCCTCCCGGTTCTGCGCAGTGGATGATCTCCCATAATGCGTTGCGCCAAACACGCGTGTGTGGGTCTCACACCAGATCTCACGCACGTGCACAGAGGGGCTCGGCTCTGACCAATCAGAGCAGTTCATCAGAGCGGGAGTTAGAGCGAGAGCGAGACGAGCAGAGTTTGTGGCACTAAAGTGTGGATTTAAACAAAACCGAAGGATTTAAGAAGAAAAAAAGTTCAGGATGACAAGGGACACTAAAATCCCCACAAAATCCGACCTTTATGAAAGCTGTAGGTTCTCTGTCAGCTGAGGTTGAGCTGTTTTAATATGCATTGAGTTCTATGGGGAAAGTTTCTGGGTAGCCCATGTGAATTTAGTCTGGTTCAGTCTGCAGTACCGCGAGAATCCCCTGAGCACATGAGTTATTCAGCTACAAGCTAGTAATACCCTATCCAGTTAATATAATACATCCATGGTGCTAACGGACCTGTAGATTTCTCACAAAAGTGGGGGCCAGTGGTCCGCTGTGATTGGTCACAATCTGCGACCCGAAACACATTCTCTTCCTTGTTTCATCAAAACTCGATCTAAAATATAATGTCACGCCAGCACAAATCTGCGCTACTTTTTCTTCAAAAGGACGTATATCCCAATGCACTGCATGGACATGGATAGCATTTTCGTAATGAATACAAAAATAAAGTCAGTTAGTGCAGCTTTAAGGAGCAGATAAATAATGTCCATGTATGTTGTTCAATGTCCAGGATCACCACCACTGCAGTTTGACCTTTCTCTATGATTGGAGCAGTTAGAGGGAAAAACTACGGGGCCTCAGCTTCACAAAAATGTCATCAATGTTTTTGCCTCACACAGACTTAAGTTATGGATCAAAAACAGTAAGGGGTCAGAACAAATGTTAGGCGATGTGTTGGTTTGTCAATAAAGGTCAACAAAACGGTCATGACAATGACCATGATAACATTTAGATGGAACAGGTAAATTTCTCCATATCTCATCTTATGCTACAAAAATGACAGCACATGGATCAACATTTGACACATATATGCAATATGTATGATGCTTGGAGAGGAGTGTGGATAGCAGTGCAGTGGAAGCAGATGTTTTCTTCCTCCACAGATGGTGAGCACTCGCTAAACCTGCAAGTTCACTTCAGACCAACCCCAATGTGTCATACATTCTTCCATATCTAATTATTCTTTGGATTTGTAATAGTTTTGAGAATTTTCCCTGGCTTTGCTAAAAACTGAAGGATTGACATTTTTGCGGATTGCAATTATTGACAGGTTAAAGGAGTTATGGAGTTGCTCAGCCAGGAGAATCCACAGCAGAGGATACTAATCTCCATACTCACATATGTGTCTTTGCTCAGTGTGAAAGTTCGTAAATATAACAGATATTTACTGTGGACATTAGCCATCAGTCATTTTTGTTGTTGAAAAAAATCAAATCAGAAAAATTTGGATTATTACGTTTTCCAGATCTCCGCCTCAAAACTAAGTCCTTAACGTACTTTATTCACAAAGTTCATGATGGACCAATAATTGTAAACGAAAGCAGTGCGATTTTCTATAGAGAAGAGAGAGAATCATCCAAGCCATGTTATGATAACATAATAACATGGATAGCTGATGCAGCTTCGGCAGGGCTCATGTAATCGCTCCTTGTGGCAGTGACCTCACAGAAGTACAGGATGTGGGTTAGTTATTGGGTTTGAACTGAAGTTCACATTTGCATAAGTTCAGATATCATATTCACAGTGTGGACACAACTCCATAAACACAGTGATTACAAGGCATTCATCTCATCAGCATGCGGAAGTAAAGGACACGCTTGGACCATGAGGTTTGGAAAGGACACAGTTCACTCAACAGCATGTCTGCTTTCATTTGAAACGTTGTACTTCATGTGTTTTTGTGCGTCATGTGCTCTATTTCACCAAGATCTGAGTTGTCAGTGATGTCTAGTGGTGATTTGGCGGTTTACAAAAGAGAATGAGTAAGATCTGAAGTTTAATTTTGATCTAAATATAATAAAAATGTGGGCTTATATAATGTACTTTGTGAATTTACATATATATGTCAAATTTTTGTGTCACTGGGAAACACAATACACTAATTCTGTTCCCAGAAATTAAGTGACCTTACACTTTACAAATATCTTGAGGTATGGAATTCCATGACAAAATGAGAGAAGTCCAAAGAGAGTAATCTCAGATCCACTTGAGAATAGAGCCAGCTCTGGACCAGATCAGGCCTGACTGAAGTGTCTCCAGAGCGCTCTGCAGGACACTTCTTGTGACTGACTCCTTTTTTTTTTTTTATGAATGATTGTCTGTTCCCTCTCTCTTATGAAAACTTGAGATTATACACAACTTGCACGGACAAAAAGATTTACAGAAACACATGGTCAAGTTGAAAGAGTCAGACACACACACCTTTTTCCTTGAAAACAACCACATGGCACACCACCAGTTGAAACTGAAACAGACATGAAACTCTGCCGCCTTTATCAACAATGCAAAATCATTCTTAAGTTGTATTACAAAGAAATAATAATAAACATATAAGAAATAGGTTCAGAGTCAGTGTATTTGCCATTTGCTGTAACACCATATTGGAATAACTGTAAAAAAACTAAATTTAAGATGTGCACCAGACAGAGCAGCTAGTACATGCTAGAGCTGTTGCCATAATAATTATTAGTTGATCATGTTCCACCGCTGTTCTCTGGTCTGGCTGTCAGACGTCAAGGCTCTCAAAGGCCTGATACCCTAACCCTAATCCTAACGCGCAAGTGCACTCAGACACTGTGCCGTCATGAAAATTATGAACAATTGTAGTTATACCGTTCCCTTTTTATTAATACATATGAATTAACACATTTATCACAGCACTCGTTATTCAGTTCAACAAACAAAGCATATAATGTTCACATAGCAATGCCACAATAATGTACTCCACTCTAATTGGATCGCCAAAGATTACGAGGACTGGTTGCCTTGCATCACCTTTGGTCATGAGCTTTGGGTCATGACCAAAAGAACGAGATTGCGGATACAAGCGGCCGGAATGAGCTTCCTCCGCAGAGTGGCTGGGTGCTGCTCGGAGTAGAGCTGCTGCTTCTTCACATCGAGAGACAGTTGGAAGGGAAGACCCAGGACACGCTGGCCTGGGAACGCCTTGGGGTCCCCCCGGATGAGCTGGAGGAAGTGTGTGTGGATCGGGAAGTCTGGGCGTCTCTGCTTAGACTGCTGCCCAGAAACGGATGAAGCAGAATAAAATTTATGGATGGATGGATGGTTGCCTTGCTTCTGACAGTTAGCCCCAGGGCAACTGTGGCTTTAGTGGTAATTTATCGCAATAATGAGATGTGAAATGTCTTTCAGGGTCCAAATAGATAAAACCAATAAATTATTATCATTATTATTACTATTATCAAAATGAATTAAACTTGTAGAAGAAGACGAGAAAACAAATAGTTTTAAATATAATGCTATGATGAAAACATTTAATTATCTAACAACAAATGCCATGTTTCCTGGCGTGACTTGTTCAAAACAAACAACTTGCTCCCAAAGTCCAGTCCAGGTAGAAAATCCTTCACAAAAAACAGCAAATCTGTCAAAATACCACTGGTATAATGCAAACCTGCTGCTCTGAGGTAATGTCACGGCTGGAAACCCAGTCAGCTACAACGCAATAAATTTAAAAATTCACTTTCACATGTAGTGACTGAACTCAAAGCACCCGTGCAACCAAATTATCTGAAACTGTGAGGAATGTACACTAATAAATCTTGTGGGAAAAAGAAAACAATGTGTGAAGTTCTAGAGCTTTCTGGTTCTGGCAGACGCTGGTGTCTGTTATGGGTGATGTCTGAAATGGGGCGGGATTTAAACCACTTGTGTTACTTTTTTTAAAAATGTTAAGTACAAAATGTACCTGATGTATGTATCCTGGACACAAAGCAGCGATGATTCTTACAAATACTTGGTTATTGGTAATTAGGTAACCAAGTACTGTAATTTATTACTTTGAAATATCATCATTTGATTAATATTTCACAATAATATGTAAATATTCATATATATATTGACCTTAATTAAACAAGGAAAGTCCAACTGAAATGTCAAAATATGTCTTTAAACGGTACTTGCCCCAGAGAGGGGGCAGGAGTGGTGATGAGGAGGGTGTTACGAGATGATTTGGTACCTGTTTTTAGTGGCAGGGGACTTCTTTATTGGACACAAAACCATTCTTGTAGAAACACATCGGTTCGCTCCACTTCGGGGACATTTGAACTTCTGCCAGTGTGGAAACCTCTGCATCAAATTGAAACAACTTTCTGATCATTTCCTTAATTAAATTGTTGGATTGATGAGCTCCGAAGATAAATAAATCACATTATGGAGCAATCTCCTAGCTTTACCTCTAATCCACAAGTTAAAAAAATGCCTTTGCACATTCT